AAAATGGAATTAGATTCCAATATTCTTGACCTCTCCAATATTCTTGAAGAGCCTAGACCTCTTCAAGTTGAAAAGCAAAATGACAACAAAAGAATATATTAAAACATATTTTTATAAATGTAGGTAAATTGAATGTACTCAGCATTTTGCAGTGACATCCAAAATATACATGAGCTATACAAAATGCATCCATAAGCCAAATATCCCATAAAACACACTCCTAAAACCCAGAGGTCTTTGATACACTGATATGTATTTCACCAGAAATCCATCCATTATCATTCCTTTTCTGGCTCTGAAAATTTCATTAATCTATTGCAATAAACATACTGGGAGAGAAAAAAAATCCCATTACCAATGTCTGTCATGCATCTTTGCCAAATGCATCATCCAATATTGGATGTCACATTACAATCCAACGTGTAGAAACATGTTTCAAAAATAGTTTGGAAGTGAGTAATCAATATTAACTTGCTGGATCCTAATGTGTCTTTGTGAACGTTTATAAATAGAGCAATTTACTGAAGGAGTTTTTTTTCTCTCTGCTTATGGATTAAAAAATGGTGACTAGTTAACAAGCTTTTGTATTCTTGCACGTGTGAGAATGTAGGTCTACACGGCCAGGGAAAAATAATTTGGTAGGTTTTAAAATACATTCCTAGATTTCACAATTTCTAAGGCTATTTTTATGGTAAGAACGATAAAGAGATGTCCCAGAATAAATGAAGTTTTCAAATGGAAAGAGACAGAAAATGTGAAAGATTACAGTAGTTCATTTCATTATTAAACCTACTAAAAAAGACTAAGAATATACTTGTGTAAATTACAAAGCAAGACTCGTAAGACCCTTTCAATTTTCCAATTTCTGGGGCAGAAGATGATAATAATTTCTTGTTTTATTTCTGACATCTATAATATAGTAATAAAAATTTAAATAAAGCAAACAAAGAGTTTAAATGTTCGAATTGAGCCGATCATCTATTTTCATTCTGTGGCATGTTTTCTTCCTTGTGTTTGCCCATATGTACCCTGCCTTTCCATCAATTAACAAATATTTGAATGCAACTGTATGTCTGCCACTGTTAACAGACATGAGGATACTGCAAGAGAGAAAAAGGTTTAGATCCTTGTTCCTGTGTGTTTTATATTCTGGTATAATTCCAATTAAAAGTCAAAAACATGAAATAGAGGAAAACACCAGATACTGTATTATGCTGACAATTAAAACAGGGGATAATTTATAAATAATCATAGCATAAATTTAAGTTGGAGTTCAGTTTTTTGATATAATGTTTTCCAATAAATCTTTATCTCCATTGCTATATAATTTCCACCCATATCAAACAAGTATTAATTCATTTTTCTCTTCAGCAATATTTGTTGAGCACAAACTATATACCAGGCATTATCTTAGGCACCAGGGATACAGGTAAAACAAATAAAAGGTCTCATGGAACTTACTTGTATTTTAGACTCAACAGTAAAGAATGACAACCAATGTAGGTAAAGTAAGGCATTTCAGCAGAGATTATTACAAACAATACAATTTTATGTTAACACTGTATAGCACAAATGTACAGCCTTTCATCCTTGGTCTGACTAATGTTTTTATTCTCAATTTATATCTGATTGATAAAATCTTTCCAGCTTGAACCTTTGTCTAGATGTTAAGCTATATTGACTTGCTTAGTACATTATGGCTATTGTTTTGACTGGCTCCATAATATTTCATAGAGTTATTACCTTAACCTATTCAACGTTCTTTCATTACTGGATATATTTTTTCTTAACACCCTCTCACTCCTACTCATGCACACTGATTTTGGGTCATAATAAATAATGCCATAAATGTCTTCTGCCTGTTCCATCCCTTGCATCTCCATTAAAAGCAAATGCTGTCCTGAATGCTGTGTTTATTATTCACTTGTACCATTTAAAAATTTCTATCACATATCATGCCTAAGCCATATGATATTTGATTATACCTGTTTTTAAATTTTATTTAAAAATATCGTGTCATCAGTCAGCATTTACTTTTTGACTCAACACAATGTTAAGATTCATTCATGCTGTTGTATAAGATTGTCTTTCACTTATTTTTCATTGCTCTATGATATTTTATTATATGGGTATACCACAATTTATTTAATCTATTCTCCTGCCTATGGCCATTTAGATTAAAGTTTTTGCTATAAGAATAGTGTTTTCCAGAAACAAAGAACAGAGTACCACTTGTTCACACTCATAAGTAGACCTGAACGTTTACCATAATACTATAAGAAAGGGATTGGCAGTAGCAGGATACTGCTGGGGTGGGTGGAGGTGAGGGACACAACATCAATAAGGGTACCTGATCTCAAACCAGGCAAAATGGGGACCAAAGGGAGACTCAAACTTTACCTGTACGATGAACACTTGTATACCTAATCCTGAATTGTACCCCACTTCTTTAATAAATAAACAATAAATAAAACCAGAAAATAGTGTTTCCTCTCCTCAACAATTGTGTGTATATTTTGTATAACATATTCTATTTTTAGAGGGAGTATACACCCAGGAATAGAACTGTTGGATTGTAGGTAAGTACATATTCAGCTTTACAACATAATGCCAAAACATGATGAAAGTGATGGTATCATCAGCAACATATAAAAAGTTATGTCGATAGGATGTTGGATAAGTCTTATTCAACTCTAGGCAATACCAGACTTCTTAATTGTTACCAGTTGATTATGTGTAAAATGATTTCCTGATTTTAGTCTTCATTTACATTTCCTGATTACTAGAGGGACTGAGTATTTCTTTGATGTTCCTAGTCCCTGTGTTTTGTGGTGTGCATTCTTGCTCATTTTCAGTTGCTTTTTGTCATTGATTGTAGGCATTCTTTATATGCTTTTGATATAAAATTTTGATCTTTTATCAATTACGTATTCTTGATCATTTTTCGATTACGTATGTGGCAAATATCTTCTCCTAGATTATAGCTTGCTTTCTGTTTTACTTTCTTTAAGATATCTTCTGATCAATGCAGGTTTCTTAATTCTATTCTAATTTTTCAATCTTTTTTATAGTGAGTGCTTTATGTCTCTTTCTTAAGCCCTTCCCTACTCCGAAGCAGGAGAAAAAAATCTACCTTTATTTCATTACATGTTTTAATGTTTTGCTTTTGACAAAGATTTTAAGCCATATGAACCTTATTTTTCTATATTGTTCATGGCAGGGATACATTATAATTTTTGTTTTTCTTATCAATAATTACTATTTTCAGGTCCATTTGCTGAACAGTCCCTTCTTTTTACAGTAATCTTCCATGCCACTTTTGACAGACACTTAAGTTCCATTTATTTGTGGTTCTTTTTTTATGCTCCCCCTTTTGAATACTGTCTTTCAGTTCTTATAGCAGAACTGAATTCATAGGTTTATGTTATATTGCATTATTAACATGTTTATTAAAAGAATTACAGAGGGTCATGCATCGACTAATGATGAAAGTGTTTCATGAATTGAAGATTATGATTAATCCAAATCTGTGAGTTTGAGGTCCATGAGAGAGATAATAATAAATAAATAATGCAACAAACAGCAGTACTATGCATGTTTTTTCCTCTCTTTATTGCCTAAGGATAAGTTCCCAGCAGTGACTGAACCACTAGGTATAAAATACTTTTAAAGGTTTTAAATGGACAATTTAAATGCTTTCTTAGAGAAATTATACATTGAGGCCGGGCGCAGTGGCTCAAATCTGTAATCCCAGCACTTTGGGAGGCCAACATGGGAGGATTGTTTGAGTTTAGGCATTAGAGATCAGCCTGGGCAACATAGTGAGACTTCTAGGTGGCTCAGCCTGTAATCCTGTGCTTTTGGGAGGCTGAGGTGAGTGTATGGCCTGAGCCCGCAGGTTCGAGACCCACCTGGGCAGCGAGACCTCATCTCTACAATAAATAAATTAAAAAAATCAGCCGGGCGTGGTAGCACATACCTGTAATACCGGCTACTTGGAAGGCTGAGGCGGAAGGATCGCCGGAGCCCAGCAGGTTGAGGCTGCGGTGGCCAGGAGCGGCCACTGCACTCCAGTCTGGGTGACAGAGTGAGACTCTGACTCAAAACAAAACAAAAAAATAAAACAAATTTTAAAAATTAGCTGAGTGTAGTGGTGAGTGCCGGTATTACCATCTACTGGAGTAGCTGAGGCAGGAGGATTGCTTAAGCCTGGTTGATCAAGGCCGCAGTGAGCCGTGATTGTGCCACTGCACTCCAGCCTGGGCCACAGAGTGAGACCCTGACTCAAAAATAAAAAATAAAAAAAAATAAAATAAAATGAGAAAAGAAAAAAAATTACACATTTATTCTTTGTGCCAAAGGGCCTAGCAGTTCAATTCAGAGTTCTGCCCCTGTGGCATCCAGTGTCCTCTGTACTCTCCAGTCACCTTCCCTGCCATTTCCCTATGACACTGTAGATTTCCTCCTCAGACCCTGTCCATACCTGCTGAAGCAGCACTGTGGACATTGCTGCTAACTGGTTGGATTAAGAGTAACAATGAAACAATTTCTGTACCTCACACTGGGCTCCCTCTTTTCCTTTTTATTGGTGATATGCATATTCTGGTTAGTTTGCTCTTTCCCCAGATAGAAGTACAGCTTGCCCTTTCAGCTTCATTGGTTGTATCTTTGCTCAGATGTCACTTTCCTCTATAAGACCTTTCAATACCACTCCATTTAAAAGGGCAACCCAGCTTCACCCTTGATTCTCACTGCCCCTCTCTACTGCTTTGTTTTCTCCATGTCACTTGTCACCACTAGCCTCTCTCCTTTACCAGAATTTGAAACTCAGGTCTGTTTCGTTCACAAATGTATTCCCAGTACCTACAATAAAACTTTAAACGTGGTAGATGCTTTGTGAATATTATTTTGAATAAAGCACATAGGTGTCATTCAATAAATGTCATTGGATGAATGAATGGGAGCCAGAGGATTCCAAGGGACCCACAGTTATACTTAACATTTTTTGCCATCTGTCCCACTGGAGGTCCAGGAGACGTTGAAGCCTTGCGTGGTCACACTGGAGATGCTGGCTGAAATACAAAATTATTTTCAGAATCCAACTTCTTTAGAAAGCTGTAATTTAACCTTGCTTTGATGCAATAAATTTTTAATCTGTGTGACTTTGGGAAAATCTGAAATTGAAAATGTGCTTTCCTGTGTAGGAACACTACCTGGCATATTAAACAAAAGCTCGGTAGTTTATGTTTAATGTCAACTTGTCACTGATTTGCTTTCTTTTTCTGTTCTTGTCACCAACTCAGATCACTGGGAGTATTGTGAAGATTATCTTAATGTTAGCTTAAAATCTCTTGACAAATGAAAGGTACAATATAATAGCACATCACCAACCCTTATTTTTAAGATTATAGAGATTGTCATATCAATATACAGTCAACATAGAGTAGCTCAAAACCAAAATATCAACATCCACTGAAAAATACAGCCTTTTGCCCACATCTCAATGTTATAAAAGCTATAGTAAAACTTGTGAGTATTGTCTCTTTCGAATTAATAGGAGGAAAGCCTTGCTGTACTCACATTGAGGGGTGGCATTTGGCTTCGATGTACTTGCATCTATAAGGGCCATTGAAGATGTGATTGGATATCCTATTTTGAAAACAAAATTCCCAAATCGTTACAGATATTTATATTCACGTTTACGCTGTTAGATTTAACAAGAGCATGGAATATTCAAGTTGGAAAGAATATTAGTGAGTACATGGTTCAAAAGCTTCATATTATAAATGAGGAGACTGAATTCAAAAGCTATATGTTTGTGGTTATATAAATGATATTTGGCATCATTTATTTGCTATTAACTCAGTTCTCCTAACTCCAAATATGTTATATTCATACTTTCAAAATATATTGTTTTAGTGTCTACTATGTGCTAGAGCTATTCTACATGCTGGGAATATAGCAATATACAATGAATACAGTGTCTCTGTCCTCTGAAACTTACCTTATAGTGGATTTTCACAATAGTATGTAATATTTTCACACACTAAATATGGTTTCATATGTACTACAATTGTCAGCTTGCAAAATTATCTTCATTTTGATGATTCATCATTTTCCATTCTATTTCCTGTCCTCTCTCCCCCTTCCCTCATGAAAGACATTTTCACGTTTATTTGAAATTATCTCTGGAGTTGAAGCAAGATAGATTAAAGAAAATTAAAGAAGAGCAAAAATATCTTATCACACTTCATTGAAATAATGTTTATGTTTCTTGAAGTGATACATTTTAAATATATTTCATATGTATTTCTCCTTTGTTCCAAAGCATATTTAAAGTGGCTTACAAACAAATGCAATATAAGAAGACAAAAGCAGAAAGAGAAAACATGAACAAGGAAAATATACTTAGCAAAGATATATTAAGTCCTGTTGAAACCTGAGTGGGGATAGTACTATACACAAAATACATTTTTTTTTTTTTGAGTTGGAGTCTCACTCCATTGCCCAAGCTGGAGTGCAGTGGCATGCTCACAGCCACCCCAGTGTTGACCTGCTGGGCTTAGGCGATCCTTCCACCTCAGACTTCCAAGTAGCTGGAACTACAGGTGTGCTACCACGTTGGCTAGTTTTTTGATTTATTGTAGAGACGAAGTCTCGCCAAGTTGCCCAGGCTGTTCTTGACAAACTATATTTCTTACTATCCTTTACTCTTAGTAGATATAGGCTCCACATTTGCTCTGAATTTTTTAGTAGTAAATTGTAATAAATACAAAATATAGGCTATGTGATTGTTACCCATCATAAGATAAAAACAGTAAGTTTTCTGGAGAAACAGCTATTCTTTTTATTATGATTAAAAAGAATTTTTTCTTAAATCTTCATAAAAAGAAAGTTGTATAATGTGTACGATATTTTCAACAATATTTTTGCAGTATAATAATCAGTATGTTCATTCATGCTCAAGTTTTAGTCAGTAGTGAATAGCACCTCAGCTTTGCAGATACCTTGGTTCTGGGAAATACCTTAAATATAGAACACGGGTAGTGAAATAAAATAAATTAATTGGTTTTGTGATTTATGAATCTATAAGTTGTTCACATTCAGGGGTGATCAGCAATCATTGTTTCTGCAATGCAACCTACCAATTAACTCCAAGGAGATACTATATCATGGTCCCATGATTAACAGAGTCATATATATAAAGTTCTTAGGAAAGTGTCTGGCCTGAGGTAAATGACAAAAATCATATATTAGAAGCTATAAAACAGGTCATCTATAGTTTAGTTCAGATGTTGGTAATATAAGTATGTTTTAACAAGGTGAATTGAATCTTCTGATGGGTTACACAATTGTCCCATTTCCCTTGGTCTTTCTAGAAGGAGGTCGATCTAAGGTAACAAATATCTTCTTCCCCAGATGGGCACAAATCAAGAACTATGTTCCAAAGAACTGTACAAAAAAGGGCTAATTGTCTGGTGGCAAAGAGAGTGGTAAACAATCAACAGGGGTGTTAACTTTATGGTGGAGTAATAACTTCTCATTGGCAGAGTCACCTACAGTTCTCCTCCTGTTACCACACTGAGCTACCAGCATCAAATTCTTTATGCAGTGATGCAGCTCTTGGCTCACTACCTCCCACCACTTATCAAGGATCTATTAATAGAAAATGCGTAAGACTAACTAAAAGGTATATGATGCATTTGCATTTCTAGATTGCCTTGAAATGAGTTGTGGGACACATTCTTGGTCACTGTAGAATTATCCTTATGGCGTTGAAGATTGGCATTTTTCCATGGACCCACATTGGATGACAGTCTAGTAGCCAGGATGCTTGGGAGAAGTTAGTCATTATTTATTTGCACTGAAAATGTTCCTGGGGCTGGGCTCTACCATGCCTTCTGGAGGAAGCCCAGGCAGTTCCTGCATTAAGAGCATCTGTGTTTCTGGACAACAGTTTTATTATAACATTAGGAACCTATGAATCATGGAATGAATTATACTTTCATTTCTGTTATTAAGATAGTTTTTGGTTTTGTCTTTCTACACAACGATTTCTTCAGTTATCAGTTTTTAAAATTTTATATTGTTATGTATTTTTTAAGTTACCTTGTATCCCTTTTAGGACAAGACAAGGTAAAAAATGCATAGGAGAAAATAAAAAACTCGGATACTGTGAGATACTGAGAGATATAATGGGTTCTTTCTAAAGAAGAAGGAAAAGGATTCTTCCACCCTCCCTTTCTCTCTCTCTCACTCTGAGAACAGACTTCCAAAAGTATTTACTGGGAGACTTAGTAAATAAAAAGGAATTTTTTTTTAACAGTGGTGATAAGATAACAATGGGCATAATGATGATGAGGAGAAAGAACCAGGAAACAAAACTCAGAGAACTTTGTATTTCTTTGTAAACTACACTACTATTACCTAGAAATCTCAGTTTAATAATTATTTGCAAGCAGCCTTTTAAAACATCTCTTACCTGCAAGCAACAGACATTTTCCTTTGCCAGTCCATTTATTGACAGCGGGCGCTGACACTGACTAGAGCCATGTGACTTCATTCTGGTAGGAATCACCGGAATCCCAGTAAAGTATAACTTGACTAGGAATTCCATTCATATTAAAATGACTGATTAAATGTCCTCTTCTGGAGGTCAGAAAGTAATGTGACATAAATCTTCACTCAAAGTTTAGTGCAGGGAACGGAGAATTCATATGATTCCGTCTATTGTGTTGTTCAGGGTCACAGTGGGGGAGAAACACACCTGAGGCAGGCATGCTGCCTAAATCCTTGTGTTACTATGTCTCTGCCCCTATTTTGACATCTTTGTTGCTTTACCGCCTTCTCACAGGCGGGGGCGGGGGGGGGGGTTTGTTGAGGACTGAATACATGTCCATGGCTGGTAACGGAAGGGTCAATGTTACCTAGTCTCTATTCCCAGGGAGCATGAGGTTATGTCTATTTTACTGGTCTCCAGCTGATTTTTTTTTAGACTGAGAATCTGCATCAACTTGCACAGCTTATTCAAAGAATGATCCCTTTACTATGGGACGAACCCTGTTTGTCATGTGAAAGTCAGAGTTAAAGCCATTTAGAGAACTATGTAGTTCCTAGATTAATTAAACTATGTAGCTCCTAGATAAATTAAATTACACCATGGTGTAATTAAGTTCACGTGGATTTACTTACACCATGGTTCAAGATTAAGTCCCCTTTACATTCTGTGGCCTGACCTCTAACAATCTTCAATGTCCTCTCTTGCTACTCCCTGCATACATTCTCTTATTTGTTCAACCAACATTTGGGAGCCTCTATCTTCTAGGTATTGCACTTGGCACTTGGGAATAGTGTTCCTCTGCAGTTTAAGTTCATGAAGAAGATGGGCATCAATCAGAGAATTGCATAAGCCAATCCAGATATGAGAACATATGAAAGGGGTCATGGCCTGGTCAGAGTCCCAAAGATTTTCCTGAGGAACATAGTGGTACGTGAGACCAGAGCAGGGGGTGTAGGGCTTTCAGAAAGCGGATGTAGCCAGTGCAGAGGCCCTGTGTGTGGTCTCACATGCCTCAGGTTAGTAATAGTCATGTCTAGCACCTATCCATTCCAGAGCTGAACCCTTACAAGCTCTCACAGATGTTTGTTCTGTGTATTAAGTTGAACTGGGTGTGAGAGCTGGGTGGGACATTACCTGTAACAGTGCATATCCGAGATATCAGCAGCAGGAGAATAGGGATTACACTGTGGCACGCTGGTACAGCAACACTCCTTATTTCTCAGGGCTTTGTTTTGTCTTGTTTTTGAAAGAAAACCCTTTTTCAAACTTCACCTATAACTAAATAAGAACATATTTGTCTCTTGATGTCTTGTAGAGCATTTAAAAAAATTTTATTTGCATTCCCCTTAGCCAAGTTTTCGAAAGGTTCGCGTTGATTGTGTATTTCCGCATGTGAACAAGATATCTACTTGTGTTTTTTGTTTCAAGCTTACATTTATACTTCACAACACAGTAAAGCCTCTTCAATATTCAATAATTTGTTTTATGTCATGACATATAATGAAGGCAAGTTATATGCCAGACCTAGTGATAGAGGTTGCTGGCTTTGTTTGCTGGTTGTTTATTTCTTCTTCGATGTGAACGTTTATTGTTTTTAAATCTGGCAAGTATCCAGAGATACATTAAAATGACCTTTGTTTCCAGGAAAGAAGGGGTTTAGAAGTAAACATGACTTCAGACAAAATGCTTTGCTTATTCTAGTTCAGAAATGACCATGAGATTAGACGAGGAGATTAAAAACTTCCTAGCCCATCTCTACATTTCTACTTTAGCTATTTAAAAAAATTTCTCACTGAAATTAAAAATACCCTTTTATGCTATCACTAGAAACTCAATTAAGTCAGAAGACAGCTCCCATCAGTGCTGAACTGAATGGAGGAGACAGAATCATGTTCTCTAAGAGCTAGTTCTGATCAGCAATATGTGACATTGTCAAGCAGAACTGAATTTCTTAACCTATGTTCTTGCCAGTCTTCCTAGTGACTGGTCATCTAACTGATGGAGAAGAGAAAGGCAGGGAAAAGCTAGAGGTTTCATGACTAGTTATTTTTGGGAAATACTAAAATATTTTCTAAACAATATAGATTTT